TTCCATTATTCAAGCAGCTGCAGCCAACGTGAGCAGAGAGACCTCGGCACGTCCTGCTCTCCATCAGCCGGTTGTTTTCCACCGAGCAGCCGATGGGCAGAGACATGAAAGATTCATCTACCCATCGGCAAATGCCGCGACCCCGGCTCGCAGCTGGGGTTTCACCCAAGAACGGTGAAGAGCAGGACAGGGTGGTTTTACCTTGAAACCAGCCCGGACGACTGCCGCTTCACGCCTCCAAAACCTCCTTCAAATCCTTATCCAAAGGAGCCTTCCCCAAGTCTGGCAGACAGGCAGGAGACCACGCAGACCCTTCCAACGATTTACAACCCAGCGTGGAGCCAAGGGAAAGGGGGAATCTCAGGCAAGGCAGGAAAGCCAAGAAATACTCCACCGTTACGAAAACAGTCACGAGATCTCGAATGTCTAGACGGAGCTGCGGGGAAGTTGGCTTTCAAGGTCTCATCCACACGAGGCACAGGGATGACCCAGAAAAGGAGCTGTGTGGAGGCTGGCTGATCTGCCCGGGTGCCGGGTTGAACGGCTGCCGAAGCCCCACCGGGACCGAACCTTTGGTACTGTGGTTTTACAAGCCATCCCCGCTGGAGAGGTGAACCACCTCCCCGGGGGAGCATTTCAACTTCTTGAGTTCTGGAAGAGGCATTGCTTTTCTCCGATTTGGTTAGCACTGCTCATAAAATTTGCATTTAGCATCAGCTCACCTCCTCCGTTCTCCTCTCCCGCCCGGCACCCCCATCTCAGGCTGATGCTCGTGCTAAAAACCATCAGCCCTTCAAAACAAAGCAGCAAAATAAAAAATTTCCATTTCCAGCTCTTTTCCCTCCAGCCTTGTGTCCCCACTACCAAGGATGCTGCTCATCCTTTTGCTCCATAAGTCTTTGTGTCGGCAGATGTGTGAAATGAATAATCTGCATTTTCTTTGGGCGAAGTCCCACTCAAGCAAAAACACTCACTCTCCAGCGAGCGCGCACAGTCTCGCAGCGTGCACCGATACAGCAGCTCAGCACCAAAGCAACTTTGTGCCGATAACTTTTTGACACTTAAAAATAAATGCCGCAAAGCCCATGGGAGCTATTTGGAAGACGGGTAACACGCATATGCCCGAGCTCACCTATTTAATTGCCATTTGCTTTGGCATTAGACCGCATTAGCGCCCAACCCTGGAAACCGGAATCGTCCCCTCCGCACAGCCCAGTCCCCCCAGCAGGGAAAGCCTGGCTTTCCACTGTCTTGGAGCTGCAGCAAGAAGGCAGAAATCCAAAGGAGAGCTCGGCACAGGGCAGCAGCTGCGGACAAACCCCACAGCTGCAGCTCTCGGCCCTACAGCCAGAAGGGTGTGTGCACCAGAGGCTCGTTTTGGCCAGGGCACCGGGACGGCGGAGCTGATGGGTTTACCTGCTCTCCTCCTGCTCCCAGCTCTCAGCTGCCCAAGGCCTTTTCTTCCTGCAAATAAACCTCATCGTTGCTAAATCTGAACAAGTCGGGACAAGGAGGAAATCAGATTTCCAACAGTGATCAGACGGCTGCAAATTGCAAAACAGAGACACCGGCCGAGTTGCCCAAATCGTGTGGGAATTCAGCAGTGTAGGAAGTGACCCAGTCCTCCTGACCCAGCTTTCTGCCTTACCTTGAAGCCATCTAATGTCTTCCCCTCACACCAAGAAAACTCCCCCTCTGGAGCCCCAGCACCCTCGAGTGTGACCCACCAGTGCGTGTCAGTTTGCTTAGAGACACAGGAATCAAAACTTCACTCATTTGCAGCAACTACGATAAAAAAAACCTCTGCGGTAAAGGAGGAGCTATGAGATGAGCATGGCCCTGGGGGCATCCCTTCCCAGGCAGGCTGAGCCTTGGAGAGCCCCAGCATTACCTCTTCCTCGCTCTCGACTTTGGGATTGCTGGCTGTGCGCTTCAGATTGCTGCTCAGGCTGATGGTAACGGTGGCGTCCGACTTGGACCTCTGGTGAGTCCTTTTGGAAGGAGACAGCCCCATATCGGGCGCTGGGCTCAGAGACGGCAGCTCCCTCTTCTTGTAAGCTGGCTTCAACTCGTCCGAGAGGATGAGTTTCCGCAGCTTGGTCCCGCGGGAGTGTCGCTGAGTGGAGATGTGCATGTCCGAGGAGTAGGCACCCAGCAGCAGGGCACACTGCAGGGAGAAGTTGATGCTCTGCCGGCAGCGGTGCACGATGTAGGGCTTGATCGCATCTCCCACATCCTCGTCCATGTGAATGTACATATTCAGCAGCTGTGGCAGGTAGAAGTCCACTTCTTCGTTCCTAAAGCAGAACAACCTATTCCCAATGTAAGCCTGCACACCAGGTTCCTTTGAATTGTACAAGTATGAAATGGCCATGGAGATATCAAAGAGTTTGGATTCAAAGAGCCGGAGGAGCCAGGACTGCTTAGCAGAGTTATTCTTCTGCCGCTTCCGGGCGGTTTTCACCGTGTTGGCCATGGTCTCGTCCTCCTCCTGGATCTTAGAGGCCATGCTGGGTGGATCGTCCAAGCACTTGATTTCACAGCCCTCCCCGATGTCTCCATTGGCCAAATCCACCGCGGTCCGTGGGGCGCGCTCTGCCTCGCTGCCATCAGCCTGTTTTGTTAAGTTGTCGGAGGAGACGCTGTGCATCAACTTGACCTTCTCCAGGACCTCTTCGCAGGCTTTCTTCGCCACCTCGGGGTCGATGACCGCCAGCTCCCCGACACCTTCCGTGATGACGCTGAGAGACGTCCCGCCATTCCCTTGGGGTGCTGAGCCGGGCGCCTGGTCCAAGCCTGTCCCTCGGGCTGGGTCTACAACAGAGTCTCCCATAGCAGTGGCGGGTCTGCACACTTCAAAGCTGAAAAGAAAAGAAGACAAAAAAAAAGAGTCAGGGACACAATCTGCAGAGGAGACCTGCTTCCAGCCTGAAGGTGGGAAAACAGGAATCCATGGTGGGATACACCTCAAGGGAAACCGAGAGCTGAGATGAGGTTTGGTGCAAACCTTTTCAAAAAGCCTTTGTCTAGAGAGGGAAGGCGCCCCAAGCCAACACACGCAATGCAAGCCGGCCCAGAGCAACGCCGAGCTGCTCACATTGGGTTTTAAAGGTCTTCTTGGTGTCCCTTCCACTTCGACTTGAAAGAGAGCTGTGAGCATCTATCAGCCATTACACAAAATTTCCCTGTTACCATGACGATAAAAAAATTGAGCAAGCCAAAAAGAGAAGGAGAAGGGAAGAAAAAAACCAACCAGGTTGCTTTATGCTCTCCACCCCAAAGGCATTCTGCAACGCTTGGGATTAGAGGGCCACAGGCTGGGTGGACCCAGTGGCTCTGCTTCTTGCTAGAGAAGATGAAGTTTATCCCCCGTGCTCAGCTTTTGCCCATTTAACCTCCCTCCAGGACGGAGGGCGACAGCGGTACGCGGCGCTTTGACGGTGAAATCCCCTGCTGGTGCCGGGCGATGGGCGAGCAGAGAGCCGGCACAAGAACCGTGTTTGTTGCAACAAGGTCCCTGTTTTCAAAGTCCAGACACCAATGCCCAGATTACGCATCCTCACCAACGATTAGCACTTAACTACGTTTTAAAAATAAGATAAATGAGGGATTGAACACACTTCCCGGTTTCCCATCTCGATAAAAAGAGCAGCGGTGCATCTCTACGGATAACCAGCAAGAATAAAGGCGGCCAGTGCCAAGTGAAATCGTCCTCTAAAAATAAAATAAGGCACTCTATTCAATCTAACATCATTACTGCGGCTCTGACTGCTTCCCTTTATTGCTTATATGCTACAACAAGACAGCTCGTGATCAGCAGAAGGGCACAATGCCTTTTACAAATGTTAAGCACTGCAAGCAGATTGCCAATTCCCTCCTGCTTTTCACGTCCAGCACGGTGGAAAAAATTACTGTCTTTGGAAAAGAAGTTCACTGAACCATTTTCTGCCTGTCTGTTCCCCCAACGACCCCCAGCCCCTGTTTTGACCACAGAAGCTGCACCGGCGGGTTCTTGCAATGAGATATTTCCCCGCTAATTTAATGACCTTGTTTTAGCTGTTTATTTTTACAAGCGATTACAGCTCCTGACACCGGAGAAAAGGGCGAGGAAACCCATGGCGTTTCTTTCTAAATATTCCAAGCGAGTAAAAACGAGGTCAGTGTGTCCAGATGCGAGTGCCGCTTCCCAGAGACCGGTTTCCTCCTCTTGTTTTCAAAGCACTTAAGCTCTAACTACGAGGTGAAAAAAGCTTGACCAAAGTTCAGCAGTCTGAACCGATATGAATAGCATCTTTCACCCCATCCGCACGGCAGCAACACACAACGTTTTCCTCTGTGCTTGCCATTCCCTTTGGTACAAATCCTGCATGCTTCAAATATTTGTGGTCATTAGATCCTAAAGACCCTGCAAGCTGAAGGAAGTTGTTTTTCCTTCTTAGTGAGCCCAGCCTTGCCCCACGAAAGCCCAGCCGATCTAATTTTTAAATTAACACCATGCCGGCAAAAAGGAGATCCTCCGGCATAACTCGGCAAGGCGGGATTTGAAGAGGCACGGAGTGGAGCCGGGTCCAAGGAAGAGTCGCCCAGAGCTTTGCTCGTGCCAGCACTTCTGGGGTCCTTCAAACGTTCGCATCAAGACAACTGGGATGACAAGCTGATTAAAATATAAAAAAAATTCAGCGGTGGCATATTCCGGAGTCCCAAACACGGCTCCATGGCCACACGCCGGGTGCAGAAGTACCTGCGATCCCGGGCGGCTCGGTCGCCCGCAGAGGGCTTTCCCAGCCCCGACTGGTTTATCCGATGCAGGGAAATGCTTCTGACATCCTCCTTGCCAGGCTGTAGAGGGAGAAGAAGTGCGTAGGATCTCGTTAAACCTCCCTCCCCATAAACACGGGGCACGCAGGAGAAGCCTGGTGCAGCATGACGGCACATGCTGAAATTCTGGACGTTAAACCTCCTTCACGTCCGCGGGAGAGGCTGGATCCGACCTGACCTCCTCACGCAAGGTATCCCGATGACTCCAAGGCGCCCGCGTCGCATGGCGCGCTCATCGCGAGCGGAGCCGCTCCCACGGCCAGCCCGAACTCCCCGATCCTTTTGCCACCTTCACCCGGCCGGCCAGGCCCGTAAGGGCCCTGCGTGCCGGCTCTGCACCGGAGAGGAGATAGCCAGAGCTCGCAACTGCTGAGTGGGTTAAACTTGGATTAAGGAACTGCGCAAGATAAATCCACCCACGGGCCTGCAGGGTTACCTCTGCACCGCAGGCACGGCTTTGAAATCCATGCATTGCTTTTTTTTTCTTTTTTTTATTCTCACTGCTCTCTTACGCTCTTCAGCCCCCCCCCAACACTTACACAGCCGCCTTCTTCAGTGACATCCCGGCAGTGGGGCTGTTCAGAGCCCGCCAAGGACACGTCTCCGCTCCTAGCGCTCCCTAAAATCCCAGCGAGGGAATTCACTCCCCGCCTCCTGCACCTCTCCGCATTTTTCCGTGATTCACATCACCATTTGTTAAACATATCACAACGCACTATTTACCTCTCGAGGCTCAGCATAACTCCCCTATTCCAAATCGCTGGTCTCAACAGGGATAAAAACCCCATCAGCTGCACACAATGAAGCAATCCAGTCTGGAAAACAGGCTGAGCTGAATTCATGTGGTTCATCCTCCACCCACAGCCATAACGGGCCAAGTTTCTCTCTGGTGGAATGGCCCTGAAGTCGGTGATTAAATACGAAATACAGGGAAGCCCCTATTAGCACAGAAACTACCGATGAAGCAGCCGCGTGTCGGTGCAGCGATTCGAGAGCACAGTTCCTTCAGGGAGGGACAAAAGCAGAGGGAGATCTACGGGAACAGAGCTGTGGCTTTACAGGAAAAAAAAAGAAAAGTCTCGCTCCTGCCTGACTTGAATAAGAAATATTAGCCCTGGCAAACAACCAGGGGGGACAGGATGAAGCCTCACCAAGACATCTGGTCTCTATTACGCTGCATTACTTTTTGTTTTGCTCAGCACTGACGGCCTTCGACATCTTGCTGCGCCTTCGGGAAGGCCACAGGAGTTGGGATGGGGGCAGAAAACATCACAGCAGCGCTGGAGGCCGGAGGAGGACGCACTGTCAGTGCCCCTCACTGCGCTAAGGGAGAGCCCTCGGACCCGCTGCAAACAGAGTGACTCAGTGCAACTTATTAGGTGATAGCTTAGAGGTTGGGGAAACTGAGGCACAAAGGGACTGTGACTGACTCAGCTCACGTGGGGGAGACGGGCAGCGTGCTGCAAGCACCACTGAAGCGAGGACAAATAATTCTTCCTGGGGGACGCTGCGCCCTCTTTCAAGTCCAAAATCCCCTTCCAGGAGAGACTCGGCACCAACAGAGACGGGCTCCCACCCGTTTTTCACACTTGGCTGAAGCAGATTTAACCTCTGCACAGCACACGGGTCTCACTGCGCTTCAAAAAAACCAAAATGCCAGGTTCCAGACATCCCCCAAGGACAAACTCTGCCCGTAAACCTACCCTACTGCACAAGGGCACTGCTGTGGGACTTTTCTCCCACGGAGCAGCACCGCTTCCCTCCCAAAGGATGCACACCACGGGGCAAATAGCAGAGGGAAAGCAAAAAAGGTGACTTTTCAGTGAAAAGGGCAACAGAAGGTCCTGAGCCAGAGACTGAGCGATCGCTGGCACCACAGACAGGACGGGCTCCTCCATCCAATGCAACTTCCCTGCGTCAGGCCTTGGGATGGAGCAGCCTTTGAGAGCCTTTCCTTGGGACACAGAACAAGTGCAGCTCCTCTCAGCTGAATCGGTGCCTCAAACCAGTACGTCAAAGCCCCGACACACCAGACCAGCAGTTTTCTTAACAAAGCAGCAGGTTATGAGCGACACTCTGCTGGAAGAAACAGCTGGAAGCAACCGCCATGGGCGGCCCGAGCTCGCTCACAGCTTAGCTCCGCACCACGCAGCTCCTAAAACCCATCCCGGTCCCCAGCCCAGCGGCGGGGCTCACCGGCTCGGTGATCGCACGGCACCGCTTGGCTCCTCTGGTGCACGGCACAGCCTGGCTCCTCTGGTGGGACGGGACGCTGGAGGCTCTGCTCTGGTTCGGCCTCGTCGGGATGCTCGCACTGGAAGGACTCCGCGTCCCGGTGCCAAGTTGTGTTCAGCCAAGCCTGTGTGTCTGAAACAGCAATAACCCTGGGGCTCGCACAAGCAGAGCAATGACTCGCCCTTAAATTTGGAATAAAATAAAAGCCACACTGCAAGAAATGCAGCAGGAGAATGACAAACTACACAGCACATTCAAGAACGGCTCCCAGCGCTCCTCAGCCTCTTGGCTCTTGTAAGGGCGAGACGCCTTTAACTCCCTACTCTGAACGTTCATGCACAGCAAACTATTTATAATTTGTCTTTGTGGCATCTTTCCTAGGAAGTCGTTCTGCCTCCCCCGCTGCGGAGCAACGGTCCCCGGGCTGCAGAGGGGACCAAGGCGCAGGGAGGAGGGAAAGCCGCAGCCTGCCAGCCCCAGAACCGCACTGCCAGCGCTTCCTTCGTTCCTTCCTCCTCCACAAATGATACAGCCCCACGGGAAGGAGTTAAATCCAGAGATTTACTTATAAATTAACTTCCCCATTAAAAAAAAAAATAATTGTGGGAGCGCGCTCTCTCACCTCTGAGAAGTGCCCCAGCCCTTTGGAAAAGGCGGCTTTTGCTGCAACAGGCGTCGCTTTGGCGAGGAAGCCCTTCGCAAGCCCACTCCACGCATACCACAGCGGTGGCTCATCCGACACGTTACTCACACAAACACGTCCAACCTTTTGTCCTCTTCCGTCGCACCTCTCTGCCCCGACGAGCATTAATTACGGTCCCTGAGCAAGCGAGGACAAACCCTTCCATCCCAGCAACCTGTTTCCGAGCACACCAAACCCTTAAGCAAGCCGTGCTGGCACAGACACCATGGGAAGTTTCCTCCTCCCAGTGATCACAAGGTACTTTGAGCCTGAACGTTCCCACACTCATTTATATATGTAAATTCACTATTTCAAGTTGCTGTTGTTACCCACGGTCATGTCTGAGCCTTCATCTAAAGCGTGACTTGAAAGAAGCTGTCTAGATGAGACTTAAAACGGAAGGAGAAAAGGCAGGAGCCCACATCCCCGGCTCGGACTCCAAGAGCAGCTCTTCCACTGCTGATCCAAGCACGGACCCCGAACCGCACGATGACACATCAGCTGTGATTTAAGGAGCACACGACCGTGGCACAGACTGAAATCCCCTTCGGATTGCCAAGCAAGAAGTCCGAGACCATCATCTCTGCCGAGCAGAGACT